GTTACCTATATTTTCTAGAAAAGCGCCTTCAACATTCAGCAAGAGAACCAGTTTGGAGTGGCAGTTAAGGCGTCAGGCCAGAAACCACGACACCCGGGGGGGGGGGGCGCTTAGGCATCAAAGCCTGCTGGGTGAGCTTGGGCCAGTCACCTTCTCTCAGCCCCAGGAAGCAGATAATGGCAAACCCATTCTGGAAAACCTTGCCAAATAGCTGCAGAGACCTTGGCTCAAAGGCACACAGGGACACGCACACATTTCTTCAACGGGTTGCCCATTATGAGAGGTTACTTTCCATGGAGGCAAATTACAACACAAGAGTTTTGACTTTGGATTGTAAGAAATAATGCAAGATTTACTGAGATCTCATGGATGTCGTTTTCTTAAACCATCAATAACACGGTTTAGCTCTGGTTTCAGTTTGGCTTTGACTTTTGTCACAATGATGAAATGGGCCACATTTTAACCTGGGTTTCAGCTCTCCCTTAAGGCCAATCTGCACACCTGTGAATTGGGATGCATCCTGTTCCCTTTAAAGAATTTATACTAGGGTGGGAGAGGACCACATCTGTATGGTTACACATTTCAAAATGCTAGATTTAATGCAATATCCTAAACTCCTAAAACAGACAAATATGATGTATGGTGAAAGTCACTCTAATTTATTTCCTCTGGATAAAGTCCTTGTCTAAATCTTAATCTTTCTCTCCTCCTGGTGTACCAACTAGTTGAATAAAAGTTCCAAGGAATTCAATATTTTGCACCCTGTCCACAGTGACACCAGCTCATAATTACACACCGGGGTCCTTGTCTTAACACAAAGCAGGGTTTGTTGTAAGAGTTCCATAAAGAGAAAGCCAAACAACCCGAACGAACTCCAGAAACAGTCCAGAAGCCGATCGCCCGCACGGAATTCAGGGGAATAACTCCGTTATCAAATATGCAGGCAAGGTCAGGAGGTGGAGTCCAGATATAGCCTTCAGCCATGACCGCTGGAAGAAGCGGAGCCTCGTGGGCAGCGTCCAAGCTCAGGCTGAAGCTCCTGGCCTTCTCCTACAAAGCCTTGATTCCCCACGAGGCCTGTCTCCCAGCTGAGCTTTCCCTTTGGGCCTGAGCCTCCCTTGGCCCGCTTCGCTCAAGACCAGCTGCCATTTCAAGCTTTGGCTGTGCACTGGCCCTTCTGCCGGAGCGGGAGGTGAGCTGAAGGTGGCTGCTTTCCGGGGGCATCGGAATTAGGGCCGGATCAAGGCTTTCTTCCCCTTCGGCCTTCCACCCCCTCCCGCTGTCTGCCTGCACAAGGCCATGGGGTGAGGTCATCGGCGGGTGTGGGGTCAGCAGCTATCACCACTGATAGGCTGATGATGCTCAGCTGTGTATCCCGACTCCTGGCTGACCAGAACAGAGGTGGTCAAGGATGCCCAGAGGTGGTGGGGTCTGGAGGGAGAAGAATGGAGCTTCCCAGCTCTGCTTCCGAATGGAGAGAGCTGGGGGCCACTGCAGCCACAAAGGCCTCGGCACAGATTGATCTGGGGTCCTAATTACATCTATGGTATTCCTGAACTGGGGGGAGGGGAGGGCTGGAACCTCACCCATCACTCATGCCTTGGCTATTTCATGCATGGACCACTGCAATGCACTGTAGGTGTGGCTGCCCTTGAGGACTGTTTTGAAGCTTCAGCTGGTCCAGAAAGCGATAATGGCATTTAAGGACAAATCTCTGGTCTGCTGATGTAATCCCTCCACTTTGCAAACTGCACAATAAGCTCCTGGGTGCAATTCATGGTGGATTATCACCTACAAAACTCTAAAAGCCAGACGGCCTGTTATTTGAGGGGCCGCGTTGTCTCCTGTTCTTTCTGCTCCAACCCCACAGTCAACAGGACCTGGATCCCACCCAATGAGCATCCCCTGATGGGACCCCGGAAGCCTGGTCTCCATCTGTCTCATTGAGGCAGCCCCGGATTCCAGCCAGCCCCGTTTTCCTTTCGGGGAGTCGTGGGCGGAAGTGGTGAATTCAGCCATTTCTGACCAGTTCTGGAGAACCGGTTGTGGAAATTCTGAGTAGTTCAGAGAACTGGCCTCTGACTGGAGATTTTGCAGCCTCCTTCCCCTGCCACGCCCACCAAGCCACGCCCACAGAACCAGTGGTAAAAAAAGTGTGAATCCCACCCCTGGTCTTGGGGTCCCGTCTCCGTCCCCAGACTCCAGGCCGGCTCGGGGCGCAGAGTTCCTGGGGGAGGAGGGGTCCTTTATGTCTGTTCTACTGAGTCGACCGCCTTCCCCTTTTGTCTTCTTCTCTCCTGTTTCCCCAGCTTTGCACTTCTATGTTGACCAGAGACGTCAAGAGGTTGGGTGACTTTTGAAATATAACTTATGGCATAAGCAAACATGCTACAAGCCCTGCGGAAAATTATTGCCAGTTATAGCAGGAGCAATTCTCCTTCCTAAAGCTTTGGGTCACAAGAGGAGGCGTTTCAGGGAGGGGTCCCGAGGAGATTAGCTTTGGAAGCATCGCCTTCCCTGCTTGGGCGCCTGTCCTTGCCCTGGCCGGTGGGAAGCAGGCGGGCCTCCCTGGGCTTAGCCCAGGACCTTCCGGAGGGAAGCCACCGTTCCGTCTGGCCTCTGACACCACGGGATATTCCGAACATTTCTGCCCCCCCCCCAGCTGCCTTTCTCCCCTCTGGTGAACAAGCCCCCTGCCAGGTGCTGGGGGGCTCCAAAAGGCACACCTGACTGGCTGGCCCAGCGAAGGCCTGGGAACCATGGCTCTACTGTGTCCAGTCACCTCGAGGGCCTCTGAAACGTTCGGAGCCAAGATGGATGGATCTCCTTGCGGCCTGGGCAGAGAAGCGACCGAGCTCTTCTGGTCTCGCAAACGGCACAATGATGCCTCGACTGAAGTGTGAGATTACTTAGACCTCCGTTTCTCAATCAACAGCGTGATGAGCTTGCTGAGCCTCTCATCTGCCACGGTCTTTATCCTCTTAGGAGCTGAAAAGTGCTGTTATCGTGGCTCTCAAAATGGAGATTCTCAGGGATGTCCCAGGCTGCCCCGGGTCCTTTGGCACAAATCGGCTGGGGAGTGTGGACGTAGATGAGGGACCCTGCCTCCCCCCTCCCCCCAGGGCAGAGGAACGGACAGCCTCTCAGGACCTCCCCAGGAGTGGCCGGCCATCACGGACTCATCCATTCCCTGCCTCGGGAAACTCTGTTTACGTTCTGGCACCACAGTCTGCTCGGCAGGTGATGCGCCTGAGGGATGCGCCAAGGGAGCCGAAACATTCCTTTCCAGATGACGATGGTGACGATGACATTCCTTGCCCTCTCAGTCCCATCCTTGATGTCCTTGATCCTGCTGGACCAATATGGGTTGGACGGACATTTAAGAGGCAGGTCTCTGGGGTGCAGCATGGGTCATAACATTCTTCAAGCAGCCAAATATTCTCCCACCTGAGAAAAATTCTAGCTAAGCCACCAAGAGTCATTTTGATTGTGGTGGGCTAGAAATGCAGGCAGAAGCAAAATACAGTAAGTAAGAAACTAAAATGGAGATGACAGCAAGATTTTGACAGGTCAGGATTTTCCTCTTCATGAATCTTTTGTTTATCCAGCAGATTCACTTTCTCCACCTGAAAGAAATATAAAGGCAAATGTAAAATCAAATCGAATCATACAGTAGCATCCTCTGCGAGGCTTAGGATGTACCTACGCACAGTTTCCAATGTCCCTGCCTGCCCCATAGCGGTTGAGTTCCCCTTGGTGCAGATGGAACATGGGGAGCTGGGGAGCTCCCCATATTCAACAAGGGTGAGGAATCCGCTTGCAGTGACACCCATGGAGTCGCCTGGGGGACGGGACGGGGGGGCTTCCTTGGTTCTTCCGGGCCTCAGGAGGGTCTTTTGGCCACAGGCGGCATTTTTGTACCAATGGTTCCCCCTGAATGAGGGAGAGGAACGGTTCAATTCTCCTCACTTTGCTCCCTCGGAAACAGAGTCCACTTGCCGCCCCTGAGCCTGAGCCTGCCGGGACCTGGCCAGCCCCGCGGCCTCCTCCGAGACCAGACTGCCCAGGGCCGCCTGCTGACTCTACTACACTCGTACAGGCCGGGCTGGGCTTTTCAAAGGGAATCCCGTCTGCCACTGCTGCCTTCAACGCTGCTGGGTGGTTATTTTTCTTCGTGGCTCTCTGAGGCCGGAAACTCTGGCAACTCTGCGGGGCCAGGACGACCCCTACCTGGGACCGGCCCAAGGCCCCCGGGTCCCTTGTTGCTGGGGGGGGGGGGGGGCTTCCCCTTTGCCCCCTCTCCCCGCCCGCCTCCACAGCTGCCCTGGTCGCGGGTCTCCCTGCGAGGCTTCTCTGGCATTCGTTGCAGAGCAAGAGAGCCGCGCTCTGCGACAGGCGCTTGTCGGCCGGTGGGCGCATCCTTTCTTGCGCTCCGGAGCCTGGGCCCCGGCCTCCCTGGCTTCTCTGCCCGGGTCCGGCACCGCGTTGCTCCGATTGGCTCCCCTCCCCGCTCCCCCCTCGAGCAGAAGCCCGCCCCGGTGATGAAAGGCGCTATTTCTGAACGGTCACCCTGACGCCCGCCGTCCTCCTGGCACCCGAAAGCCACGGGGGCCTCGGGGGCCCTTCGACGGCGACTTTCGCTCAGCGCTTTCCGAGCCGCGGCTCAGGGGACGAAGACGCGGGGATCACAACGTGAGCCAGCCGCGGGCCCCGACCTTCGCCTCCCGTCCCTCCCTGGGTTTCGTCTGAAGCGCTGCCAGCGGCCGAGCCGGAGGTAAAAATAGCCCCGGAGGGAGAGGCTGCCTGTTACTCGACCCCGCGTGGTTCTCCTGCTACGTAGCTCGGCCTCTTCTCTGCTCGCCCGGGAGAGACCGAGGTGCGTCTCAGGGAGACTTTGGGCTTCTCGTCCGGCTCCTTTCGGGCAGGCGCTTGGCCCCGCGGCTTCTCCGGGCCCGGCTCCCCTCCTGCCCCGTCCAAAGAAAGACCCCCCCCCCACCAAGGATCTAAGTGGCGGGGAGTGTCGCGGGTGAGCAAAGCCCGGAGAAGCGGAGCGGGCCTGGGACCCCGGGAGTGGCCGCAGGCAGCGCCGCGTTCGTCGCCCCCCCTCGATTTCAGGAGACGCGCAGGCCAAAGGTAAGGCAGGAGAAGAAGGGGCGTTGCGAGCGGGGCTGGAGCGCCCAGGAAGGGTAGGAAAGCCCCTCGGGGAACGCGGCCCGTAAAGCGTCTTCTTGGAAGGCTTTGGGTCAGGGAGGCTCTCTGGCCCCGAATGAGCCTGACCTGCATAATGCCCGCCCCACGGCAGCACCGGCGCTTTTCCTTTCCCATCCCCATTTCTCCCCCTATGAACCAGGCCTTGGTCAACCGGTCTATGCCGGTCGCTTGGGATCCTGGAGATCGGCAGGCCCTATTTCCCCAAAGCGTGGCTGGAAGGGACTCTTCAGCTTATTAAGATGGTTTTATTTCGTGTTCTGTCCTAAATGCTATCAATCTCTGAGGTTGAGGGACCTGTTTGACACATATTTTGTCAGAACAGGAACTTATTTTCACTTAAATACTCTAATTCACTAATAATGTGAAGGAAAAAATTATGAGACTGTTAATTATCACATATCAGTCGAAGTATCCTCTCAGTAGGTTGAATTTCTCAAATCCAACTGTCAATGATTTTATTTCGTTAGGTCCTGAAACTGTTTGATATAGAAGTAAATGAGCAATTTCTCATGGTTTGGAAAAATGCTGTGTGAAAAACTGCACGCACTAATATTGTTCACATACATGGGTGTATAAAAGATACTTGTGTCCCGCCACGTGAATTGCTTTGTTTAGAGTAAAATAAATGAACTGAAAGTGGAGATGCCCACTTTGGCTTTCCTTGCGACCGGAGCCCCACTGAACTCAATCGATGATCACCCGGGGGGGGGGGGGGGGCTTTTGTCAGTTCATTGGATGGGATCCCCCCAGGCCTCAGGCAGGCCCTCCTTCCTTCTCCTGCCCTTTCTACCCACAGTCCGGGGAAGATGCCCTTGTGTGGGGGGGGGGGGCTGCCACCCTCCCCCACCCAGGACCAGCTGGGGAAGCCTCTCTTCAAAGCAGCCAGGCACAAACTCCTGTTGCCCATCAAACGGGGCCCTCGGGGAGCATCTTCCCCAGGCCTTCCCAAGGCCTTCGCTCACAGGGGGGAGGACACTCCAGGCCGACTCCTTCCAGCCTCTCAAGAATATATTATTCATTTATTACTAGATGAACGTTGTTTTTTCCTTCATGAACTTTTATCGTGATGTATTCCCTGCGTTTATGGCCTGTTTAAGTCTGTCTGCAAATGGACTTGGTGTCATTGCAGAGAATTAAGAACAAACCAAATGCCACAAAACAAGCCGTCAAGCCCCCCTCCAGGAGGGACTGGGCTCGGCCAAAGCTGCACATCATGGTAGCAACCGAGAAATCCTTGACGTGTGAGCCTCCCTTGAGAAACCGAACCCAGGAAGGCTATGAGTCTTGTGTCCATGTCCGCTTTGGTGGGTGCTAATGACAGCTGAACGAAGGTCTCCGAGAAGGAGAGACGGTTTCTGCCAGAACCCGGTGATATGAGGCGCTGCAAAGCACAGCCCACTCGCAGCTGGGGCTCATGAGGAGAGCAGAGCGCTCCAAGTATGAGTCAGGGCACCTTTTAGGCTCCTGTGTGCTATTTGTGTCTTTGTGCACAGGGCCTTTCGTCAGTCACCAGATCTAGTTCAGTGGGCATCAAAGCGAGGCTGCTGCTCTCCGCCCATCCCGGGAGTCCAAGACAAAACAACGGACAGCCCAGGGAGGCAGATCCTCCGGCATGCAGGCCGGCTGGGTCCGACCAGGTGCCCGGCAGGGTGGCCTTCCTCCAAATCAGCACCTCCTTAGCCCCTTTGAGGGGCAGTGAGAGTCTTTCCCAGGGCTCCGCTCTGCCTTCACAGCAGGTTCCCTTCCTGGGCAGAAATGCTGAGAAGTAGAACAAGAGGGCTGGGCAGGGCCTCGGGGGGGGGGGGGGGCTCGAGCAGGAGGAATCCTTGTTCCGCCCCAGACAAATGGGGGGTCCAGCCTCTTCTTGAAAAGCTCCCGTGATGATGGGGGCCCCAGAACTCCTGGAGGCAAACCGTTCCACTGGTTGATTGTCTCCCTGGTTGGATCTCCATCGGAGGATCTCCCCTCTTTCCACTTCTTGTCCTGCCTTCAGCTGCTTTGGGGAATAGGACCCACTCTTCATTGTGACACAGCCCCTAAAAGTATTGGAAGACTGTCCTCGTGTGACTCTGACTCCTCCCTTTTGGGCTTAGATTAGACATATATCTAGTTCCCACCACCATTCGCCCTGGGATTGAGCCTCCAGGCCCCCTGATCAGCTTTGTGGCTCTTTGCACTCTTTCTCTCTTTTCTTTTTGGAGAGCGGAAACTGTGTGCCGAGTGTTTCGTCTCCCAAGTGCAGCATGAAACAGGACTGACACTTCTTGTGATCTTGGTCCTCGTGAGCTTTTTCAAGAGGCAACCGGACTGTCTGGTTTATCTTTGAAGATGCTTCGCTTCTCATCCCGGAAGCTGCTTCAGCAGTTGGACGAGAAGCGAAACGTCTTCAAAGAGAAAGCAGGAAAATCCAGTTGCCTCTTGGAAAAAGCACCTCTGGGACGACGGTGACCCGGAGGACCGAGAATCCCCACAGACACCGAGACGTTGCTACCACCCCTCCTCCTCTGTTGATGCAGCCCAGGACGGCACTGGCTTTTTGGCGGCTGCAGCCCAGGGCTGGCTCATGCTGCAGTGGTGGCCCACAAGCAGGCCTGGATCTCTCTCACAGTCGCCCCCCCCCCCCGTGGAGAAAGTCCCTGTGTCACTCAGGAAGGAAAGGAGGGAGGGAGGGAGGATCGTCCGTGGCTGTTGTTGTTTTAAATGGGATAGAAGGCAAAAGACGGATCAGCTCCAACCGAAGTGACAGGCCGCCTGAAAGCCACCCTTCCCTCAAGGGTTAGTCCAGCCCCAAACTTTCAGAATACGATGGCGGAGTGAAGCTGGCTCTGGAGGACTTCCTGACCTGCTGAGGAAGGATGGGCCACTGCTCCCGTTGGCCTCCCTCCAGGAGAAAGTGACTCCATGCAGAGTGGAAGGGGAGGGAAGGGGAGGGAGGGAGGCTGCCACCATTCACCCTCCAGACAAATCTCACAGTCCCCCCCCCCCCCAGTTGAAACACCGCAAACTGCACTCGGGGTTGTTGATGCCACTTTTTGTTTGTTCGTGTTGGTACCCAAAGGGTATCTAGTCTACGGAGTTGGACATGCAAATCTTTTAAGTTTGGCTAACACCAGAGAAAACCAAGTAAAGGTTTATAACCTCAATAAATGAAAAGAGCAGTACTGAGACAAATAAAAAGTGCTGAATAAAATATTTTAATTGCCTTCCATCCCCCAAGGCCATATACGATTTTAAGAACCATCTCAAAACTACCAATTTAAAGCGGAACAGAACAATCTTAAAATATCCAAGACCTGGCTTTAGGAACAAACGAAGTCCAACCAAAGTCATTCCCCAGGCCACCTGCCGGGCCAGAAGGGGCCCAGTGTAGCTCCCTAGGCAGGGAATGTCCACGTCATCCCGGTGGGAAATGCCTGGTCCTACTTGGTGGGTGCCCTGAAGAGTGAGATGGCCCTGGGGTGACCACAAGTCCAGGGAGCAGGAAGAGAGCCTCCGTGTTTCACAGAGCAAATTGACTCGCTTGGATTTGCCTTGGATGTTGGCCCAGAAGGACACTGTCCTCACACCATTGATTCGGTCTGCTTGAAACCCATTGTGCTTGCAGCCAATAAACTATGTCCTACTGGACTCGAGATCTTCTTCCTGGGAGCGTTTTGCCTCCTGCCCCAAATTACAAAGCTCCCTTCTGTACATTCACCTGCACGTGGCTCTCCTGGTTCTGTATCGGCTCCTCTTTTCTTTGTGACCCCCCCCCCAGCTTCTCACCATCTTCCTTACCTGAAACTCTACAGAATAGAAAACCATCCTCCACCTTCTCTCTTTCACTTTTTCCAGAAATTTCTACAGGTCCTCCTCCCCACTCATCTGGTTTCGCTTGCTTTCCTGAAACATAGCTGGGTATAGCTTTTCTTGTCACCTCCCTTTTCCAACCCCTCTTTCCTCCGTTCTGGTTCTGCACACGTTTCTCCTTTTTGGAAGGAAGCCCAGATAGCAGATTAAGGTTAGTCATGTGTTGTGCAGGCCTGGAAGTTGGAATGCGTTCATTTCTCTGTGCAACTTTTCACACACACAAAGACTTCTGATTCTTAATTGTTGACTATGGTCACAGCCAGAGTGAAATAGTATATTATGTCTTAACTATGTCAAAAGGTTTCCTATGGGCTATGCTATTTTCCAACACTGATTCTATCTATTAAGCAGATTTTCAGTTAACATTTTCAGTTTTTAAATCTCTAGAGGATAAACTGCAAGGAGTAACTTGTAAGTTGTGTTACAGGCCGTGCTCTCAATTAAACCATTCCTTATTCAATCAACGCAATACTCAACATCCACAAGAAACATTAAGTCATAAATGGCCCAGAGGGCTGAGTTTTCATATAGAGTAAGATGAAACGTGCCTGGCTATTTGGCAGTTCAGGGTGCCCCAGGTCGGAGGAATAACCGAGAATCCCCCCTTTTCACCTGCTTCCTGGGAGGGACCCCCTGGGCCTCGGGGCAGGCGTTCGGTTTCATCCACAGAGGCTCCCACTGAGAGGAAGAGAGTTGGGGAAGTGACAGGGCAGGCCGTTCTCACCGTGTGATGTTGGGGGTTGCCACAGACGATGTTGCGGGTAGTTGTTACGGTGACTCAGGTCTGTTGTCCTCTTCGTTTTTTCTGGCCCAGCCAATGATTTTTTTAAAATCCTATGATCGATAAGCAAAAATGGTGAGGAAGTCATTTATTGTCCTTTTCAACTCAAGATAAATTACCTAATGGGACTCAGGACTCTGTCCATCAGCAGAATTGCTGTCAGGAAGCTGGACAGAATGGGACCCATTTTTCTCTCTCTGTGTTTAAATTGTCCCCCCTCCAAAAGGAGTTTGAAAATGCATTTGTGGGGAAGGAGGCTGTAGAGTACCATCTTTCTCCAAGACCTCCCCCG